ACACAGGAAGGAAATTTCAAAGACATGGTAAAATGAAGCTACAGGGTTACCACAGTCTCTAGTCTTGTTTTGATTCTGGGTAAAAACAAGAATGACACACACATATTAACACAAAAAGGCTCTGAAAAAATTTGCCAACATTAGGTATTCATGAAACCCTAGACCTGCCCAATTCTTTAAGGGGACAAAAATAAAATGACTGGCATTTATCAATTAAATTTCATTACTATCTCTTCAGTCAATATTCATTTGTGAAACTGTTCTGTGAAGCCTTTTGTTTATTTAAGTATAACCTAAAATCACTTGAGTTAATGTGTCAACATAATCCTATTTTCTCTCATAAATCTTAAAGTCCTATAGACCCAAAATTCTTAAACTGTGGGTGGTGACCCACACACACTCAAACTATCATTATAATGAAATATCATAAACTAGGCATCTTCTAAATAATCAGTGCATTTCTTACAATTCTGCAGGGGGAATCCTAACATTAAGTCTACAGAGATTGCTCATGTGGTAACAGCCTGTTCTTGGTTCACAGATGGTGTCTTCTTACTGTGTCCTTCCAGAGTAAGGAAATGTAAGTTATTCTATAGTACAAACTCCTGGGCATCCTCTATATGGGTTCTAATGCCATCCACAGGGATTCCCTCTATTATGACTTACTCACCTCCCTGAAGGTCCCAGTTCCTGACAAACATGGCCTTAGGAGAAATTATAATGTTTGAGCTTTGGGAGGAGGGGTATTAAAAAGATAATCAGTCCATAGCAAAGACCATCTTAAACTAAGGTGTTGAGAAGATAAGGGAATCTAAGTGCTATCTTAATGAGAAGAAATTAAATTAGCCATAGTCCATCTAGTAAGAAAACAGGAGTGTTGACAAGAATACTTTTGAGAGTGAGGTGGGCAAGCGAAGGAGATGGTTTGGAAGCCTGGGGCCCCCATTTAGTTTGGGTTGTGCATGTGGCAGCCTAGTTCCTTCAACTGCACATGCTATGAACATACATTCCTCTCTAAACAACGAAGCTTGCAACCCTAGAATCCCTCAGCACCCCCTCCAACACACACACACACACACACACACACACACACACACACATTGAGCTATACACTCTCACCTCTTAGCAAAAAAAGCAGGCACTCCCTGCCCTGTAATGATCAGATGTAAGTAGTTATCTAGTCAAGCATACTCCCAACAAATGGGGGACTAAAAGGAAGAATGTCCCATCCAGCCTGAACTGTTTCAGGTACATGTACAGTAAGGCAAAGCCACATGCTCCAGCAACCTTTTAAAGGGAATCTCCTATTTGTCATCTGTGCCTATGCATAATTTAGAGTGCATATGGTTAATATAAGGAAAGAACCTGCAATAGAAAATGAATATAGCGCCGGGCGATGGTGGCACATGCCTTTAATCCTAGCACTCGGGAGGCAGAGGCAGGCGGATCTCTGCGAGTTCGAAGCCAGGCTGGACCGACAGCCTCCAAAACAATACAGAGAAACCCTGTCTCATAAAACCAAAAACAAAAAACAAAAAGCAAAAAAAGAATATATAACTTAATTTATCAGTCAACATAGAGAAAAACTCAAACTATACCTGAGCCATCAGCTCCTCCTTTCTATGACCCCATCAAAGAAGCCTGCGAATCATCGGGGGACTTGAGCATCTCTGTGAGTGTGGTCTGCCGTCAGTTCTGACAGTGTGTCTCTCTTCAGTCCATACTATGCCTTTGCTTTACATTGCCTTGCTCCTTTTGCAAATCTGTTAGAGCCTTTGATTTCAGTTCTTTACATGAGAAACTGATGACGCCTGTCTTAGAATCCAACCCCATCAGACATAGTAGTCTTCACCTTCTTCTTCTTAACCAGTAATCAGGCAACAGTGTTAAGTCTATGACAATTGAGAAATACCAACCCTCTGTGAAATACATACATACATATACATACATACATATATATATGTACATATATATATATATAGAGAGAGAGAGAGAGAGAGAGAGAGGGAGAGAGAGAGAGAACTTATTCATCTAAACCAGCTTCCATATTATTTCATGCCTTGTCTCACTGAGGTAAGTCATAGCTTGCTAGCCTTTATTACATTACTGAACAACTTTTCATGCCTGCTCTCAGGTGACCAGACGTTGGTTAAGACTATTCATGAGTTCCTCTCTGGAGTATATTAATTAGCATAATAATAGATGATTTAAAAAAATATCTATTTTGGTAAAACTTACCCCAAATGTTTTTTGACCAAATACCTTATTTCTAAGAACTTAAATCATTTCATTTATAAAATAAAACAGGTGTGATTCCTCTTCAACCATCATTACAATGCCTGTTAATTCTTTTTATGTAATGGTATTAGTAGCAAATAATATTTGCTATTCATAAAGCAATTTCACATACTTTACAGTATCAGCAAATTTAGGTATAACTTTGGATGTCTAAAACAATCAAGTAAATGTATAAGGAGATGTCTTCCATTATAGACAATACAGAAATCTAAATGAGGCTTAATAAAACGTAAAAGTTAAAAAAGGAGCCACTCGAGTAATGGCGGCCCGCCCTGCCCATGACAGTCTCCTTAGCAGGCAGACGCTGCCACAGAACACTGGAGCATTACAATTGCCTTAATTATTCACGGCAACACAGAATTCTATTTTTGGTCCCATTCAAAATGAGTGCAGAAATTTAGTGAGATGTGAGCAATCAGAAACGCTTCCTGTTGTCCACTAGAAAGTTCATGATGAAAGCTGAGAGGTCAAATTTCACCGCAAGAAGGAAGCTAACGACTCCCGAAATGCCCAGCGTGGCTTTAAGCACAAGGCCCTGAAAATCTGAATGTTCCTCATTTAGGTTTTGGTTTCTGAAGACCTTCTGAGAGCATCTTGATTTTAGAATCGCTGGACTGTCAACTCATGAATAAGATTTCGTGGACAACATAGAACACTGACCGCACGGTGTGTTCACCCATGGGTGAACATTAATAAGGCAAACACTAAGGGCTCGAGAGATGGCTCAGTGGTTAAGAACGCTGGCTGCTCTGCAGCGGACCCAGATTTGCCTGACAGCACCCACGTGGTGGCTCACAACCATTGGTAAGTGCAGTTCCAGGGGATCCAGCGCCCTCTTCTGGCCCCTACAGGCACTGCATGAATGTGGTACCCAGGCAACCAAAAAAAAAAAAAACCCCACGCATATACAATAAACTAAATTTTCAAATAGAAAGGCAAACAGTAACTCGTTAAGTAATGAAAAGCTTCAATTTCTCCAAGTCACGGGAAAGATTTACCTTATGACGGCAAAAAGTGAGGAGCTAAAGAAATAAGATGGGAAAAATAAGCCTTTAGAGCAACAAATGGCACACCGGGGAGATTATTTGGAAACCCCAGAGACTACCGCTGCAGATGATAACCGCAAAAACGTTCCTGTCAGAGATACTTTTGGTTTCTACTTAGATGTACCTTCCCGGTGCTACTGCCCACCCCCCACGCCCAGCTCCATTGAGGGCTCACATCTCATCCAGCTCCAGGGGCTGACTTTGACTGGAGGGCAGGGAATCCACTCCGCATACGGTCATCCCCGGTGGGTAACAACATGCCTTTCCCCGGTATGGTGGCCTTCAACCAACACTATTCACTTAGCCGCAGCCTCGCCCCTCTGGGTGTAACACTCTGGAGTCCACTGTGGAATTCGACTCAGGCTAGATTCCTCCCACAGTAAAATCACACCCAGTGCTCAAATCAAATTAAACAAACACACCTCCTCGGACACTGGACTACTGGCTTCATTTTGAATTTCATTAATTTTACCACAATTTTGTAGTGTCGTAAAACAAAGTCAGCAATATCTCCATAGACCAATATAGTACCAAACAGGGACTGTTAGACAGTATTTTTACGATTTTTTAAAATCTGATTAGTCAAGTTTTCCTTTTGCTTTCTCTTCTAATCAATGGAACAGAAAGCATGTTCATCAGTCCCAACCCCCTCTGCCCTGGAGGTGTATGCTGAACATCTCTTTACAGTGTTGTACGTCATCAGAACTGAACTTTAAAAATCTAGTTGTGTCTAGGCCCCAGGCCACGTCAAGTAGCTCCCTATCTCCAGGTCTAGAGCAATGGCATAGCGCTTAAATCGTGGACTGCTCTTGCAGTGAACCTGTTTGGTTTCCACACAGTGGTCTATAACTTTCAGAGGGATCAAATGCCCCCTACTGGCCTCGGTGGGCACTGCATACATACGATGCACATACAAATATAAAATGAATATATATACATAAAATGATAAGTCCTTCTTAAAATTTGCATCTCTCCATGAAAGCCCAACTGATCCAGCAGCTGACTTTTTAATTGTTTATTATTTTTATTTTACTTATTTTTAATATTTTTTGTATTTGAAGCGGCGGGGGGTTGCGAGGGTTAAGAAGATAAACAAATTTACTGACATAGATTCCTCAGTGAATGGTTTACACAGCATACATAGCTTCCATTCGTCCATTCTTTCATGTTCTATGTTTGCATGCTCAGGGCGCATTTTAGATGGCTCACCACAAGCCAAGCACAATTAAGAAGGTAATGTCAGTTATGGTTCCCAACCATAGTTTTCCATCTTCCCTCATTTCATAGAAAAGACCACATACAAAGAGGATGGGGGTCATTCTTAATTAAGGTCTCAGAGAGTAAGCGGAAAACCATATGCTTGCAGTGTAGATGGTCTTGACTGCAACAGACATGGAAAAATGCCAGTTCTCCAAACCAGGTTCCCAAGACAGCTTTCCAGAAGTTCAGTATTTGGCTTTTTACAGAGCTGAGCTCACTCAAAGGGACTAATCCACATCCTTAGCATTCCCTTTTTTTCTCCTCCCTGAGTACATGGTGATGGGTGCTAGACACCAATTTCCTGCTTGTGCTCACATGAGCAGCTGCAGATTCTGGGGAGTGATTGTGGGGAAGCCAAGGACGATCACTATTTAACTTGCCTGCTACAGTACTTACACGGGAACACATGTGTGTGGATGCCTAATAAGCCGTGCAGTGAAATTAGCCTGATTCTGATCAGCTTCCTTGTTCCATTAGCCCTTGGGAAGACAATGATAATTAGTTGAAACATCTGGAGAATAGCACTTAATCATAGAAAACCAATGCAAAAAAAAAAAACAAACTAAAAACAAATTATCTTCGCCCAAGGTACATTTCTATCTGGGAAAAAGAACAAAATGAAACAATTGTCAAGTTCTTCATGCTTTAGTACACAAAAATGGTAAGCCCCGCACCCCACACACTCCTCTTAAACATAATCGTGCTGGACAGACATTTGACTCAAACCTTCAGGTGGATCAAGTCTCACCCTGACTTTAGCAAATAATTAATGTGAAATTTTCATAGAAACTGTCACAGTTTATTTAACTGAACATAACATATAATTAAATGCACAGCACTGACCCTCAGCTGTTGGATCCTCGATGGTTTGGAGAAGCACTTCTCTTGTGTAAAGACAGTCTGATACATTTTTTATTTACTGCACTGACCTACACGATGTTCGACAGGTAATTAAAAACGAAAAGGACGAAGGGAAACTATCCAAAGAAGAAACAAACTGGTTTCGGCTGTTTAAGTTCAAATCAAGCACCTTTCTGAAAATTCATAATCTGATCAAATAAGAATATAGTTAGCAGGCGTGGGTGGTTAGATAATCAGAATTGCAGAATAGTTACAAGCTGTGCTTTTCCCATCCCAGACAGCCCTTTGAGGCTTGTGAATGTTTAACATGTCAATTAATGGAAATTTTTTTCAAACAAAACTTAAGACTCCAGGCAGGAAACTTTTTCTATAAACTTCAACACTGTAGCACAACCCCCCCCCCTCAAAAAAAAAAAAAAGATGGCTGTGGCCGCTTTGAAATCGCGTCTGCTCCTGTCCATACTGTGTTTTTATGACAACTGTGGGAGGGCTGGGCTCGCAATCCAGCCCCATTGCAGGTGTGAGGGCTGAGGGCTGCTGCTGCTACCTGAGAGGCATCTTCACCAGGCTGCACCACAGACGCCTGAGAACAAGGCCTGGGTGGCTTGCATCGTTCTCTGGTCCCTTTCACTTTGGAAAGTATCTAAGCAGCATCAGTGATGCAAAATGATGAGCTTGGCTCTACCTCCCTGATGCCTTTCTTTGTCTGTGACCCCTAACAAAGCCACCTCCTGCCAAGACTGGCCCACAGAAGAGAAACACATCGCCAAGGCAGAGAAGCGCATGCAAGCAGACCACCAATGCTAGCGAGTCTGAGGGGAGAAAGTGAAAAGGAGCACAGGGATCCCTCTGCCTTGGGCAGAACCTGCAGCGGCACCCACAGAGAAAATCACCTCAGAGGCACCAGCCGAAGAGTCAGCTCTGACCCCTCATGAGCAAAGACCAGCATTGCTTCCCCTGATGTAGCTAGTCTACTGTAGCCCCTAGTGACGTTCTTGGATGCCTAGTCTTTGTTTGTTTGGCTTTATGTATCATTGTGATGTTGAGAAACAAAACATGTGGCCTTACCCAAGGCTTTAAAGGGGGCAGATCTGAAGGTCTCTCGACTGCGGTGAGCAGGTTCAAAGTATACATACACACTTGCCTGTTCAGAGATCGCCATGGGGTGTTGTATTTAGAATTTAGAGTGTTGGTTCTATGAATGGGAAATGCTTTGAACTAGACTTGATAGAATTTAGAGCAGAGCTAAAAATCTGAATCCTAAAACAGCCAACTGAGTTCTGCAAAATGTGTATAATCTCCGGCATGGAGTAGCTGTCCCCAAAAGTACATTTGCTAAGGATGGGTAGATGGGTATATTGGTGGATGACAGGAAACTGAAGAGAGCGACCACCTGTCACTATCTCTGCCTGACTCAGGGGTCACCCATATGTTAGCTTTTCTGCAGATTTTCTTTCCTGTCTCTTCCAGCTTCTTGATAAGTCTAAGGTTGCCTCCCTCTGAGGCCTGTGTTTCCTCCCTGGATTTCCTCACTCGTTGCCAAACATTGACTACCCACATGCTTCCCCAAGATCTGTGGCTCTTTTTGTGATCCCATCCTAGTTCACATACTTGATGTTTCTCAGAAAGACCGAATCTGATGATCCCTGACTTTACTGTTTCAAAGACAACTCAAAACAAGGGGACCAACTCTTAAGTCACGGTCTCCCTCAAAGTCAATTTTTTTCCTAACAATTACATGTGGTGCTCATATTACCTCATTCTAACCTCTCCACTTCGTGTCTGAGATATAATTTAACATTTGAGCATTTAAAAAATAACGATAAGACATGTATTCAAAACCTATAGTCTATTTGATGCTATGACTCAACTGTGATTGGGTGCCTATTTTCTGTGGTCTGCCTTCAGTTTAGGGACTCTATGGTACCCGAGTGTGGGAATCTGCATCCATTCTCGAGCTAGAATCACAGCAGGCTCAGGGGTGAAGGGGATGTGACCAGACGATTGAAAACCACTCACCTTACCTGCCTTGCAACATAGCACTGTCATTGAGCAATTATGTTTTATGCCAGACATCAAGTGATCTAAATAATTCCACACATTTCCAACAATCATCCTAACTTTTATTCACATATCAAACACAAGAGTCTACTGTGTTGCATTTAGCTTTCATGAGGCCAGGAAGAAAACAATAGATGCCAAATATTGATGCTATTGAAGCCTTTTGCTTCAAAGAAACATGATTTAAAATGGCACTCAACAGTGGTCTTGTGCACATTTTAGGGTCGATTGTGATCCTTCAGAGGGGAGTTATAGATGGGAAAAATATGATACCCTTCTTGGTTGAGAACATGCATGACTTGTTCATTAATATAAGAGTTTCCCATCCTAAATTTAGTGTTGACCTAAGGCCCCACTTGTGTGGTGGTTTATAACTTTGATAAGAGGAAATGTCCCAGATTAAGCACAAAAATGATTCTGGCATGTTTGAACAAAACTGGAGTTAGCACAGGGCCCCTAATATTCATTGTGTTAAGATCCGAGGAGGCACAACTCAAGAGGGGAAGGATAATAACTATATTTGCTATCATGAAGAGGGGGTAGGAAGACAGGGAATTGATGCAAGGCTAAGAAGATGGCCATTTAACTGAGACAGAACATTGTCTATCATGCCTGTAGACTATATGCCCAGTCCTCCAAGGACTTAGCCAAAGACTTTGCAACCAAGAGTTTGGGTTATTTTTAGCTGTCATGACAACAGGCCTGGTGAGAGCAAGTTGTATTTCCTATATCTGTTGCAGGAAAGTCTTCTATAAAATAAGAATGACAAGGAATGCTATTTTTGTAATGCTTTGTCACCTCCAGGCAATGTGTTGTCCTTTATGTATCTGAGATACAGTAACAATGATGTCAACGTCAAGAATTCTCAGCCTGGACACTGGCACCAAGGACACACTGAGGATTCTGGCCAATCAGGAAAGTCCTGGTAGCAAGACTCCTGCAATGAAGGTGAGTTTGGCAGTAGTAAACCTCCAAAGACAGCCACCTGTGGTTTCCCCCTCCTCAACTCCATGCCCTGGTGCAGTCTCCTCTCTCGCTGACTAGAGCGGTCCAATAGGAGTCTGTGCATGTGTCAATGTAGGACTCCCCAGACGAGGTCAGAAAATACACTGAAGCTACAGTTTTCTCCTTCTGTTTTGGATCATTTGCTTGGTGAGAAGTCAGCTGCCACAAACCTCAAACAGCATTGTGGATAAGATCCATGGTGAGGAACTGAGAGATCCTGCCAGAAGCCAGTGACAAACTGAGGCTTCCTGCCAGTAACCTTGTAAGCACGCCATCTTGGAAGCCACTAGCCAAGCCCTCGGTTGACTTCATCCCAAGTTTCTGTTTTAGCCTGAGCGATTTCAAGCCTGAATTGCTCAGCCTAGCTGATCCCATTGGTGACCCACAAAAAAAGGTGACAGATAAGTGCTCCCTAACTTCAGCTACTGAGTGCTGGGGAGTCACTTCTGCATAGTGATGCATATATATTTTGATGCTTTGGGAGTCGGAAATGGGTGGCTAGAGTAACAGATAACTAAAAGTACTAAGTGACTTTGGGAAAAGACGGTGGGCAGAAACTGGGAAGATTGGGGTAGAGCATTGGTGAAACCTAAAATATGTGAGCAAACTCTCCAGAGAACCCAGGCCCCACCACAGAGGTTGTGAATTTGGGGAGGGGGACTAAGAGAGATGTGGAGATAGAAGCAAGAAGACAACTTGTTATCAGGTGACAAAAAAAACCTTTGTGGCTGTTTCCTGGATGAATGTGGAAAGCCGAAAAGGGACCACGCATGGCCTGGCAAAGCAGTATAGAAAGCACAGTTCTAATCCGGCTTGCTACTTACAGCAAGAGTAGAGAGATGGCCAGAGGAAAGAGGCCCCAACCTGATTAACATATAATTGACAGATTAAACATGCATGTACTTACAAGTTTAGGCATGCAGTGTTTTGACCAGTTCGTAGTGTGATGACTGAATCACGCTAGTCAACACATGTAGCACCTCGTGTCCTCGTCAGTTCTCGTAGTACGCACAGTCTTTCCATTTGCTTTTTGTTGCTGTGATAAAAACACTGACCAAAACCAGTTTGTGGCCGGGTGTTGGTGGTGCACGCCTTTAATCCCAGCACTTGGGAGGCTGAGGCATTTCACTACAGGTTGAGGAAAGCCACAGCAGGATCAAGGTAGGAGCTGAAGAGCAGCTCTGCTTACAGGTTTATTGAGCTACCTCTACCTAAGGGTGGCTCCACCCACCGTGGGCTGGGCCCTCCCACATCAATCACCAATCAAGAAAATGAACCACAGACGTTTCCACAAGACAATCTAATGGAGACATTTTCTCAGCTGGGGTTTCCTCGTCCCAGGTGTGTCAAGTTAATGATTGATGGTAACTATGACACACATTTAAGATCACTCTTAGCAACTGCACAAATCACTTCTGCTAACTACCCTCTTGATGCTGGACACAAGACACCTTTACCTTTCAGGTTTTATCTAACCAAAACCTAGGATAAAGAAAGACCTTCCTGATTTTGAGAACTTTCAGTCTGTTCAAAAATGTCAAAACTAAAAAGTAGCTTCTATGCAAGGAGCCTGCTCCCTCCATTTAGTCCCTTATACTATGTCTTTCCTTAAGGTAGTACATTTGTCACAGCTGATGCACCATCATCGAAGCCCAGGTTTGACATTCTAGCTCATTTTACTTGTGTCCATTCTGTGGGTTTGGACAAATATACAGTGGCAGGTGCCCATCCCTTAAAAATAACATGGAGTGGCTTCATTGCTCTAGGATTTTTGAGCTACCTACTCATCCACCCTCCTCCCTTGTTTTTTTCTACTCTTTCTAATTTAGTAAATTAACTGGAACAACGTATCTAACGAACGCAAGCTTCTGAGGTCAAAGAATATAGAAATTACCTTTAGCATTTATTGAAATTCACAATTGTTCAAACTCAGACGTCTGTTATGTCTTCTCAGGATTGACCCCTGACCTCTTGGCTCCTTCTGATCTGCATGATTGCCACATGCAGAATTAATACACATCCAGGCTCTTCGAATTATTCATTTTTAACAGCTTTTCATAGGCACTTCAAATGAATAGCAACAGGGCTTTGTTTTCCAGATGTCAGCTCATGTGTGGGAATAATTCTCCCAGACTTTTATAATTATGACAATTTGGGAAAGGGAAGAACAAACAGCACATTTAATTTGGAACAATTTTCACAAAGTCTGTCTTTGCTTATCTTCTCAATCCTTCACTATTTATGAGTTTGGCACAGTCATCAGAGTGGTGGTCCTTTATGGAAACAGCCTAAAATCTAAAGAGACTGGAGCTTGAAAACGATGCATTCTGCACTAAATGTGTAAAATAGAAACCACACGGTCCACCTGGACAGTTGAGCTGAAAGCTGGGGAAAGGGTGGTGTCTTGATTGGGTGTCTTGACGGTGTCTTCCATTGTTGCCATGAAGTGTCACGACCGAAAGCAACTTAGAGGGCTAAGTTTATCTCTCCTTAGGGCGTGTGGCCCATCACTGAGACAAGTCGGGGCAAGAACTCAGGCAGGAACCAAAACAGAGGCCATGGGGGAACCCTGCTTACTGACATGCTCCTTCATCACTTGCTCAGCCTATTTTCCTATAGCACCCAGAACCACCTGCCTAGAGGTTGCACAACCCACAGGGGTCTGGGACCTCCCACATTAATCATCATCAAGAGAATGCACCACCAGCCAATCTGGTAGGATTATTTTCTCAACTGAGGTTCCCTCTTCCCAAACAACCTTAGCTTGTGTCAAGTTGACATAAAAACTTGCCATCACAGATGGCAAGGGTTTGGGTAAGCAATGCAGTATTCTAGGCAGTTTCTAGCTTCAAACACCCCTAGACAGAAGCAAGGTAAATTCTCAGGTTAACGGGGTCCTATCTTCCTGAGTTAATGACCCTCAAATGACCCGAGGATGCCTTTATATATTTTTGGCAGTTACTTAAGATCCCAAAGAGCTCCATATTGTGTATTGAGAATAATAATCACACTTTAAAGCAAAGCTTTACAATGCTTGATATATAAGCCTGTGCTCTATTAACTCTGAGAATGATGGCACGCATCTGCATGCCTTTTACAGGCTCTTGATTCTACTGCACACTAACCGCAGAGGGCGTAAAGGGTAACCTCTCAATGTGCTGGCTTCGCAGATCCACTCTCAGCTATTCCCCAGAGTCCCTGGAATGCAATGCAGGGACTTGGAGCCAAGAACTGGAGCAGAGACCGAGTCAGGGGAAGAGCATTGCCTGCTGCTCCCCCCTCCCATGACTTACTCAGCCTGCTGCCCCCCCCCATGACTTACTCAGCCTGCTTTCTCATACAGCCCAGGATCGCTTGTCCAGGGGCAGTACCCACAGCACGTTGAGTCCTCCCACGTCAATTACTAGTCAGGAAGGTGCCCCACGGAAATGCTCACAGGTTAATTAGATGGAGGCAATTCCTCAGCTTGGGTTCCTTCTTCCCAGGTGAGTCCAGTTTGTGTGGAAAGACATAACTACCCAGCATAGTCTCATGTTCTTAGATGAACATTTAGCAGAGAAACCATTGGCTGATTTTACTATAAATGCAGGAGAATGAAACCTACTTTGGAATAAGAGAATCTCAGAATTATAAAGGATCATCAATTCAATATAGCTAAGTAGACAAGGTGAATTTGATTATGAATAAAGAGACCATCTGAATCTATGTAGCATTCACCCTGTCTAGATCACTAAGTATGAATAACACCCTGTCTAGATCACTAAGCATGAATAAGCCAATGATTTTGATCCACTAGAAATCATTTCAAGGGATTCTTACACTAGAGTTCCCAGAAGACTGAGGGAAGCCAGATTTTAAACAGCCATGTGTTTTCTTGTATAGCCTTACTCTGACCATTTATAAATTCCCCATCTATCAAGCTGTCAGTTATTTTTCTCAAAAGAAAGCAAAGCAAAGAAGTATGAAAATACACTATGTTAAGAACTGTTTCTTCAGTAATAAACTTTTTACATGAGAAAGTTTCTGAGAGGATGGCTAAAATTATTTTCCAACAATGTACAGGGAGCCATCCGTGACCATGGGTTCTACACCCTTAGATTCTGTGGCTTTTGTGAACATATGCATTTCCCCCTTTTACCACTTAAGAGACACAGCATGTCAGCTCCTTACATTGTGTTGGGTATTAGAAGTAAGCTAGAGACGACGGTGTGCCCGGTATAATGCCAACAACACACTACCGTGTGAAAGACTTTAGCATCTAAAGATTTGGATCTGTGGTGGGTCCTGGAACTTTCCCCCCATGGAGATGAGACTGTCCTTAACATATCACTCTCTGTCTTCATCCGCAAGGTTATCTACTTGCCCTGATGGTTCTTACGATAGAGGCCTCCGTACTCTAGCAGAACACGGCTTCATTTCCGTTGGTAATCACTAAGTTCCTTCACAGCCATCAGAACATAAAGACAACTCAGAAGCAGTGTTTTGATACTCTTTGGTAATTTTAGAGTTGAAGGAAATTTGGAATCTAAAAGTTTTTCAGATGAAAAACATAAACCAGTACCCGTAGGAACTGGATAAACCCTCCTTGACCTCCTGTGACCTTTAATACTCTTCTTGAAGCCAACCCTGCCCATCATGTCTAAACCAGAGACTGGACTTCTGAGGTGACATGGGGGTCAAGCCCCACTGTGGTGCTGCAGGTGTACCCACATTCTCTCTGGCTCTCTCTTTCTCTCCATTGCACGTCTCCTCCTCCTCCCGTCTACTCCAGTCTTCTTCATCTTCACCAGTACAAGGGCTTTGTCCTCACAAGTCTACTTAAACCAACAAAAATCTTCAATTGCTCTTTAGAAAAAGGTTAGGAGTTGAGTTACGCCTCAGGTCCCACTGACCTAAATGATTTCTCTTTAAATTTGTTCTGGTGGTTTGAGTGAGGAATACCTCACCTCCTGATAGGCTCATGAACCTACCATGGACACTAGATTCCAAGTGGGAGAACTAGGTTTTTCTTCAGGTATTGCGGTCTAGCTGGAGATATGAGGTGCCATATCAGACGTCTGAGGTTACATAACAAATTATTCAAACTGTGATGTTAAACATAACCAACTTTTATTGTTTTCCCTACCCTGCAGGCTAAGAATCTGAAAGCAGGTTATCTGGCTAGGAATTACCTCAAGATATCTGAGAAACTTCAGTGATGCTGCTTGCTGGGGCTGTGGTCTCATTAAAGGCTCAACTACAGGGAAAGCTGCTTCCAATCTCAATCGCACAGCCACTGTCAGACCTCAGTCATTCCCTGGCTATTTGGGGGACAGTTCTTCCTAACCACTTAGCTCTATCCATAGACAAGCTAAGTCATTCATGGCACTATGGCATGACTGCTCACTTCCTTCAAGGGTAATAATGAGAAAGGAAGGTAGGAGAAGAGAGGGAAAAGAGAGAGGGAAGAAAGGGGAGGTGGAGAGAGACAGAGACAGAGTGTGTGTGTGTGTGTGTGTGTGTGTGTGAGAGAGAGAGAGAGAGAGAGAGAGAGAGAAATGGAAGATAGTCTTTTATAAACAAATGTTAAAAGGGAAGTAGCATGCCCTTGCCACAGAACAACTTAAAATGTGTGAAAGGTTTATGACAACCAGGAGTCAGGGGTTGTCCCTTATGGGGCATACATACAAGCAAACATGTAAGTCCTGTGCTAATTATGAGTGAGTAATTCAGAAAAAACACCACAGACAGTCTGGGCTAATGAGACACATAGGAAGCTGACAGAATTTCTGCCAGGCCTTCAAGGATGGGAGACCCTACTAGGTGAGCAGAAGATGAGGAACATTTCAGTTAAGGAGTCAAAGGACCAAGGAGGACATGATTGTCAATGAGCTAAAGAAACTAGTTCCAGTTATGTTTTATTCTGTCAGGCTTCTGCTTCCTAGAACCAATAAATTTATCAGGAGAAGATAACATTGAGTTTTACTGCCTGACTCCTGATTTGTAACTCTTTGACACTGCAATCTACGATTCACTGAGTCTCTTGAAAAATTGCTCCAAGATAAACGTGCAGACATCAACCCCAAGATAAGGACAGTCACATGAAGATCACTTGTAACACTAGGCAGGAAACTATACTTGAGGCACAATGCCGCCATGCTTTGCATGCATGCAATACAACAGGCAGTGATCAGATTCTAAAGCCAAGGCCATTGTCCTTTAAATTAAAAAAAGCATCACAAAAATATTATTAATAAA